AATACATTTACATCGACAGCCATTCCAGCAGAGACGTGCACTTTCCTGAAATATTATTTTAATTTTTGCTAATTATTTATTTATTATTACTATTTATTATCCCTTATTTACTTAGTTATTGAGTTATTTACTCTTTATTTTGATTGTTTTAGCATACATTTATCTCACAATCATCGGGACAGGAGTGGTGTTTGCCTATAGGATTTTCTGATCTTCATTCTGAATGCAATGCATTCATGCAAATAAATTCCGTTTTGGTGACTGTTGAACCTTAAATGCGGGTCGGTGTGTTAGGTGCGTTTTTGGGACTTAGCCCAAACCTTTTCAACAAAATCTGCACAAACTTCTGTGTGCGGCCATTAGAAAAGGCTAAATCGCAGAAGCGCGGCAGTGAGTATCGACCAGTTGCCTAGGCTAAAACGCCTGAACTTCGCGAAGTACACTAAGTGATTATAGTTATGTGGTGGATTTCATGCCGTATGTGATGACTGTTCTAATGCGCGCATTTAGAACAACAGATTGTGCATCGCAAGATGATGAGCGCACACTTACGCCGGTTGCGGTCAGTGGGTCGCGGTTTCATACAAGACACACAACATTGGTTTTCCCCGCCCTGCGGAGCCAAGCGAATGCTCACATGATGCGGTGAAACATATGGTTTCTTTGGGAGTTCAAAATGTCTGAATTGAACGTAGCTTTCTGGCAAACTCAGATCTCTTATGACTTCTTATTTTTCTTCTATAAGGCCCTCTTAAAAGTGATCGTAAAGATGGAATTGCATTAAAGAAGACAGATAAATGGTGTCTGCGTGAAAAATTGGCATTGACGACACATCTGTCCAACAACGAGGAAGCTTATGCTTTAGCTGCATATACTCTTTATCGTTTAGAAGGTCTATAACGAAAGAGGAACACAGAAAATATCAACTTAAATGGAATATCTGGCCTATCTCATTACATGACGGCCGGGATTCTGGAATAGACTTTTGCTTAGAAGGTAATACCCAGGTGGGCTTGTAATATTGGTTATTGAGCAGCGTAATTTCAAGGTGGTGCAGTCTACCCAAAATGCCGGCTTTTGAATAATTTTAATTCCGCCGTCTGCAGAAACTACACTCCATATTAGTGACTTCCTTGGCGGTATGAATATTTCCAGCGGATTTCAATATCCACGTTAATTTAAGTATATTTTGCTTAAGCGCCTTTTACCATGCTCACGTAATGGTAAGTTGTGTTTTTTTTAACTGTCATACTTAAGAAGTGTATGCCTCCGGGTAAGGTAGTTTGCAGTTAAGAGACTTCTAGAATCCTGAAATTTCCATTCAGATAGCTGCATATGAAGTCGACATCATGACCTACACTCATTTGGGAATCGTTTGACCGCATTTGTAATTTCGTAAAGAAACGCATGATTCTGAAAAAGAAGCGGAAATTGTAAATTATTTAAACAATGTCAAGTTATGTGCGCCAGCACACTGCCAGATAATAATGCTGGCTTCCTATTGGCGAAAACCCGTGTTCTCCGTGACACTTGTGCAAATGCGATTCATGTAGAAGGTAGCAGCGTGTTGATCTGACTGGACATATTACATCCGGCACAGCTAGTAAAATTCAAAGAATAAGCGTACTTTTGGCGTCAGAGCAGGGCTCCAGAGTAGCGGTGGTTGAGGAGGTCGTATATAAGGGAGGATGAGGGAAATGCATGCGCTTTAGTAGAGGACAATTTCAGAGACAGATAAACAACTAATGAAAATTACAAATACATTAGAGGCGATCGCGAACGATTGAACAGAAGCCTCTTCAGTTTTGAAAGTCGCCCGCATATAGGCACTATGTAAGGAGAGCATCCGCATACGGAGACCCTCGTCAGTCGGTCCAATCCAAATGAAGGCATAAAATAAACATCAGCATAACACAACACGTAAATTGTCTTTCTGTACTGAATGCCGGTGGTGCGCTACAAAGCGTGTGTTGAGTTTCGAAGCGTACGTTAGTGAAATGCCCATAATTACCAATAACAT